TGTCGATTACACAATTTGCACAAATGATGCATCCAAAATTTGCAACAACAAAAAAAAATAACACAACGTGCAAAAAAATCAAAACAAAACAACCCACAATGGACACGCTGTTTAGCTACAATTACAGTTAGACAGTTAACGCAGCGTGCGGGGAGAGAGAGAGCGGGGGGGGGGGGGCGGTTGGCGTCGGCGGCGGGAGAAGTAAGCGTCTTTTTGCACTTGTAGATACTTTTCTCGCTGATCAAATGTTGCAGCTCTTATGGGATTTGTGGGATATATTCAAACAACAAATTGTGGCACTTGCAGTCGCCGTCTAACAGCATTTAACATACATATGTAGATACACACACACACGCACACATGCAAGCACGCACACAAAAGCGTTTCGTTCGTTTTTGCTTACGATTTTCTTTGGCTTGGCGTTTTAGACAGTTGTCACTTTTTGCTGTGTCATAAAAAAATATTTAAAAAAAATTGTTTTCTATTTAAATATATATATGTATGTATATATATCTTTGTTGATTTCACTAAACGATTATTAACTGCGTTTTAAAAGTATTTATTCTTGTTTTTGCTACATATACTTTATTTAATGTATGAGCTGTCTAACGATTAACTTTGTTTGGTGCGCGTCGCCGTGGAGAGCTGAACAACGTCTATTTGTCTGGTTGTGCCTCTGTCGCCGTTGTTGCTGCCGCTGCTACTGCGGCGACTGGCGACTATGAAGGCGGCAGCGTTAAGCGTTGTAACGGCAAACACACGACGCTAGCGTCAACGCTGCGTTCTTGACGCAGGCGCGATCTCCCACCACCGCCAACAACAACAACAGAAACAGCAAAGGAAAGTGGCAGTGAAAGAGAGAGGGAGAGAGAGAGAGAGAAAGAGAGAAAGAGTGAATGTGTGTCTGTGTGCGTGTGTGTGTGTGCGAGAGAGCGCAAAGCACGGCAACCCACTGGCCTGCTTTGATGTTTGCACTCGCCACCCTAGTCAAAAATAAACCGCTTAGTGTTAGGGTTGCTTTTGGCACGCGTAGCGCAAGAGCGTTGCTGCCACCTGGGGTTGATTTTTGGTTTTTGCATTGTGCACGGTTGCATTTTTGCAGCTGTCCGCTGGGTTGGTTGCTTGTGGGTGGCTATTGCCAGGGTTGCAAACACACACACATATATGCATTCACAGCCCCAACGACTATGCATTGATGGTTGCCACAACTACAACATATGATCGTAAGACTATCAAATGCCAGTGTTGCCACATGTTTGGCACAAGTGTGTCACTGATTTATGTAAATTATGCTCAGTTACTTAGCCTTGACGCAAACCCTAACGCCCACATGGTTGGCGTCTTGACTTTCAATGCGGAAGCGCCAACAAAAAACAACAAAATAAATGTTGAGGTTCAATTAAACTGAATGAAATACGCGCATAAACAGACATCTCGATGTACATATATATGTGTGTATAAAAGAAGTAGTACAACAATTTGAGGTAAATACTGGTGTTGACTTTGAATTTGCATTTAAGTTCACAAGCAACTCAACTCACATATAAATATGTACAAATAACAAGCATGTATGTATATTTTAACGTTTGCGTCAATGTCAGACAGTAACTACAACAAAAACAACAACAGCCACAACAAGCAGAAAGCGCACGTTGTAAAAATAACACAAAAAATATCGACGCAATATACTTATTTAAGCCAACCGAGCAATGAATGAACGCACACAGCTCTCGCAATCTGTGAATATGTGTATGTATATGTATGTATGTGTGTGTGTGTGTGTGTGTGTGTGTGTGTGTGTATGAGAGAGAGCCTAAAAATAACAATATCAATTCTATATAGCAGATAATTAAGTTGAGTTGAGTTGAGCAGTGCAGCTACCTACATACATACATATATAAAATGTTGTTTGTGTTTAAGAAATTGAAGTTTAACACAAAACACAACAAAAACTTTTGCTTCCGAACTACGCGCGCTGCTTCCAACAGACGTTAACGGCGAATGGTGGGAGGAATGAGAATGGCAGGGCGTAACGGAAACGGTTAACGAGCCGGCACGACAAAACGCACAGCACAAGACGCACAACGCATAACGCACAACGCATAACGCACGACGCACGCTTTTATTTTGTAGCTTTCTTTGGCTTTGCTGTTGCTTATAATCAATCTATTACGTTCGACTAGAACTCGTCAACTGAATTAGTTAATCAAGCAAAAGATAGCCAGAAGCGTCGGCGCGCGTTCGCTACGAGAGCTGCTCGAGAGACAGAACTGAGAGCGCTAGGTGGGAGTGCGAGTGCGAGCAAGCAAAACTGAGCTGTCCGACAGCTGAGAGCAAGCGAGCGCGCTAAAAACGAGAGTGAAAATGTGTCAGTGTGACTTTGAATGCGTGCGTGCGTGCGTTTGTATGTTTACTGTGTAGCAGCTGTTGCAATGTGCCACGCATTAAGCTTTACGATCGCTTTCCAATATGCATGTAATCTTTCCGTACCTATCAATACATGTGTATATAAATATATGGCCATATTTTATTGTATGTACAAGAGCTTTTACTTAGCATTGACCACATGCTTAGGAACAATACGCTGCGTATGCGTAATGTGAGATAGCAAGTGTTACGCATACGCCTGTGAAACCCTGTTGTATGTGCTCGTGTGCTTGCGTGTATGTGTGCGACTGAGTGAGAGTGAGCTTAAGCTGTAAACTACTTCACTGCACAGTGGCTAGCAATTTATTGTTTTATATTGTTTCACATTCAAACAGTAATTTTCTAATTTTGCTTAATTAAATTGAAAAATATATTTATTCATTTGTAAACTTCAGCCACACTCATTACATATTTTTTATAGTGGTTGAAAACTTTTTCTGTCATACATAATAATATATAAGCTAATCATGTACATTATACAGGCAAATCATTTTAAGAGTACGTAAATAAATGTACTTTATTGGCTATAATTTTCGAACTTTTTACAGATCATTTGCACTTTTGTTAAACTGTGCAGCAGCGACAAATGAAAAGTACGGCAACTATAAACATTTCATTCGCAGTGCTTTACCTTGCTTAATTCCAATTTGTTTCCACTCTCTCCCACTCTGTCACACACGCACACAGGCACAGGCACGCACTCATGAGAGAGCAGAGCGCGTGCTGCTCTCAATTTGTTTAGCCTCTCAGCTATTATGCTGCTGCGCTGCCGGCGCTGCTGCTGCTACTGCTACTGCTGCCGCCGTCGCTGCTTTGTGCCCACGCAAATTATTTTATTGTTGAGCGTTTTTTTTTATATTTGCGTTTTGATTTAAAAGTTGTATGCATATATTTATGAGCACATGTAACTATTTTCTTTGTAATTATATGTACATATCTGTGTATCTTTTGACTTGATCTCTGCCAAGACAGCGGCTACTACCGGCCGGCGTTCGTAACACCTTTAGTGTATATACAAACACATATGTATTTGCACCCACATTTGTATTATGCGTTGCTATACACATGCACACTAATGCATATATATTTTTGTCCATGTGTGTATGTCCATTGTCTGCATAATCCCGCGCATTCTTTAATGTTGAAGTGCCACTGAAACGCACTGCGCGTGCACACCTACACATGCACACTGCATGCACATGCATAGCGTGCGTGTGTGCATTTGCTGGCTTTGTCATATAAGTTGCCCCATCTTGAATGCAAATAGCAAATAAAACTGAATGAAATGGAAAACGTGCTGCATTAGCAGCTACCTGTTGTTGTTGTTGTTCTTTTTGTTGTTGCTGAGGCACCCACAGTAGCTACCCCAAGCCTCCCCCCTGCCATTCGCGTTGAAAAAGAAAATGACGTCTTATTCGCGGGTCCCAGCTTTTGGCGTAGGCGTATAAAAGGCACCGATTTGACCGCCACGACGCTGCCTCTGTGTGTGTGTGTGTATGCGTGGGCGTCTCATCTAATGTCTGTGTGTGTTTTTGTGTGTGCGTGTACGTTTATGTTTGTATGCGCTGGCATTGTTGCGACGCTGATTATTAAGCTCAACTACTTCCGTTGAAGCGCTGCTTAAAAAAGGATTTCCGAGTCGCTCTTTTGTTGGCTCTTCCAGTGAAGCAGCAACTAGGAGCACCTTGATGCTATCCTGGGGCTGGGGTTACCACAAAAAAATGGCACTAGGAAGATTCAAATGCAACAACCACAATTCATGTGCAGGCCTCAAGCAATGTTGCCGAATTAATTGGGTTTTTGTGGGAATAACTTTTCAAAGCAGTGCATATGACTTGGGCTTTTATTTATTTCTATTTTTATAACAACTACATTTTTGACCGATTCATTCAAGATAGTTTAAATGTGTGTATTTATAGCTTTTATAATTTTCCAGTTGTGCCCAACTAACCATGTCTCCAAATCGACATAAAACAATATAAGAAAAATGTGAAAAATAAAAATAAAAAGAGAAAAACGCGAGAAAATATATTTTCCACCTAAAGATTCGAACTATTGTAGCTTACGAGATAAACACACGAACTTAGAAACTGAAGATTCGATTTAGCTCGTTGTCCTCAAAAATATACATATATACTTTATTCCTTCTGTCTGTCCCACACTTTGGTACAATAACACAATACCCTTTTTAGCTATTTTTTTAATGAGATCAGGGTAAAACTAGTGTGGCTACACCTCAAACAAACTTTACGCCAAAGTTGTAATGCCCAACCGCCAGGGTATTCTACAAAACCAACGAAATGAAACCAAATTTTCAGCTTGAAGACACAAAATGCCAACGTTAAATTAAATGCACAATAGATGTGCCTTTGGGGACGACATTTGCATGTATGTGTATGTATGTATATGTATTTAAATTTGTGTGACACGCACACACACCCCTAGCCTGGCCCCTGCCCTCCTGACCCACATAAGACAAAGGCAAAGTGTGCCAAGCTCAGGCATATTTGCTGCTAACGTGAGTTTCAATTGCAGCCGAAAAGTATGCAATGGAATATGTAAGAAGAACTCACCTTGAGCAACGTGAGAATCTTTTGCGATAGATCATAATCAAAATTCGAATATTTGGATCCACTCATATCGTAGATAAAAACAAGTCCCGCACGCTGCGTCTCCGTGTCTTGCAGCGCACAGTCCAGCTGATAGACGATACCCTGTAATGTGGTCGTATGCGAGGCACTCAGCGGACTGTGCCGATTGGCCGTAAAGAGCGCAATCGCCGCTCCGCTGGAAGTGCGCGCCGGCTAAAACAAAAGATACAGATACAGATACAGTCACAGATTCAGTTAGTTGCTGGCCTGGCCTGGTGTGGCCTGGCCTGGCCAGGTCTTGGCTTGTTGCCTGGGTTTGTTCTTGTGGTACGCACCAGTATTGTAAATTTGCCCGTTTGCAGCTCGGAGCGCAATGGCTCCACACCTGCATCAATGTTATATAGGTATTCCCTTTGGCGTATCTGCTCATGCTGTTCATATAGGGACACGGCGCGTGGTATATCAAACTTACGGGCGTACAAGAACTTGACGGCTGTCGTGTGCGAGATGTGACGCCTAATGGGCAATGACGATGACGATGACGATGATATTGCTGTTGTTGTTGTTGTTGTTGCTGATGAAATTTGTGTGTCTGGAGCGACTGTTGCTGTCGTTGTTGTTTGTTGTTGTTGCTGTTGCTGTTGTTGCTGTTGTGTATTGATGTGAACGTGGAAATTGGATGTGCTGGCATTCGAGGAGGCGGCGGCTGTTGCTGCTGCTGTGCTGCAGTTGGCGCCTAAATTGTTGCAGAGATCAATAAATTGTTTGACAGCCTGTGAATTAGCATAAAATGACAACATTGGCAATTAGGCATTCATCCATGATTAAACACTCGCTAAATAACATCAAATTGCAAATCAAAGATACACTAAAGACAAATACTTGATATATGAAAGGAGTTCTTAACGAACAATGTGTTTACCCGGTCTGCAAGCCCAAAAGGGGAGATTATATATGAAAAAAAAAATATAAATGAAAGTTTAAGGTTTGAACCGGATCTAATTGCAGCTTGGATGCATACAAATGGATTAAAGGTAAAAAAGAGCTGTTCTCTTATTCCACTTTTATAATAATATCCTATCCAAAACTTTGACTATAAGTTTTCAGTCATGACGATTTATACGATGAGAATTACTATGAAAACTATTCTAAAGTTTAATTTGATTTTCTGCCATAAATAAGTATTTCAAGATTTTTAAAGATTTATAATAGTTTCCTATATTGTTAAGAGTCTATGTCTAAACTTTGATTCGATCTTGTATTTATAGGTTTCTATTGAATGTAGTTCATTGTTTTCCGTTAAATAATTTTGGATAATGGTACAGAATATTTTTTGGTCGACCACTTTTATGGTTTCTCTGCGTAAGCACTTCGATCGCATAGATAATTTTTGGTGTGTTCCATTAACTTCTCGGCGAATCAATGGCATTGAAAAGCTGCCTTAATTTTATGTTAAGGTTTTCATAGCATATCATCTATATACTAATATATACTATATATACTTATTAAGTAGTATATATATATATATACATATCATGTATACATATGCCCTGCCACACTTGGCAGCAGCTCATTAGATCTTAACCAAAATATTTTCAATTAGTTAATTGACACATTTATTTATATTTTTTGGAAACTATTTAGAGAACTTGGGGGAAAGCTAAGAAAACTTATTCAACAAATATTTTTAATTTTTGTTAATTTGATTTGATTATCTCCGTTTCTGAATTCTTATAATTAGCTAATTTAGGGGTATTTTTTTCACGTTTTGCGCATTTAATGCCTTTAATTGTCATTTACATATACAATACAGCTGTATTAACCATTTGAGCCATGATTAATAGACCCGTCCAATTCATGAAACTCACAATCTGTATTGTCTTTTTAATGGGACATTACTTTCCCAATAAACAGCATTGGCTGAGCACACGATTATATTATACTGGCTGAGAAATTACGCCATTGTGTGCAATTAGTAATGAAAATAATTGCCATGCGAGTCATTAATAGATTGATCAATTCCAATAGACGCAACGATAAGCATATGGAGCCCAGTTGCATTAACCTTGGTACTATTCAACTGAGCGAAGAGGTCAAAAGAGCCGATCCCAGCTCACAACAGCTGCGTGGCAAATCGAACTAATTACAATAAGTCTTAAGCCCATTTACAATGAACATTTGCCATTAAGTTTTCAATCAAAAGATACTCTACACAGGCTATGCAGACAGGTGTGAAGAAGTGCCTCGCTTTCGGAATGCATTGAGGGTGATGGGTAAGCTTTATGCCTGAGCAATGCTTATCGCCTGGAAGATACATTGGCGATAGCAACAATGTACGCATACTTTTCTTATATATTCTTATATAGTGCATACAAATTTATATTTTTATGGTATTTTGTCCGCCAACTACTCTGGTATATGTATCTTTACGTATTTATCGCTCAGCATAAGACACCCTTTAGTATGTTTTTCCAACTATTTGCAAGAGATTATTAAGTATACAACTCCCCTTGAACATTTCTTAAAAGCTCCAGTTCTTGCGTATTATCTTGAACACTTTTCGAATCGTATAGATTATTATTTGTAGTAAAAGCTGGATAGCAATACATACATAATTAATATGAAAATTCATTATCAACAGTTCTTTCAGACCACATGAGAGAGCAGAGTTGTATTTGTTATCAAATATGATTTACTCCGAAACATTTTACAGTTCCTCATAAATGATACAATTTCGTAGCGCAGATACACAAAATATGTAGATTAATCTGAAATATACTGTTTCCGAGTAAAAGATAACAGATATTGTCAGAATTTCTCATATGTTCATGCATATACTCGTATGCCTTTCCGCCTCCCCCCCTTTTATTGATTTCCTTAATCTTAACACACGCTCAATTGTGGGGCTTATCAATCGCAGGAATTGCCCTCCCCACTCACTCAACCCCTTCACAACCACTCAAACCGATAAGCTTATAGTATAGTCGAGCACAGGTATACCTATACAAATATATATAAAAATAAAAAAAAGCTCAACAGCAGCAGAGAAAAAAAAAGGTAGTGAACAGCTGTCTAATTAGATTTTCTGAAAATCTCATATGCGTAAAAACCCCATAGTTTTCTGGAATTGAAAGGGGCATATGTTGAGCAGAATACGGCTTAAATGCAAATCCGATTCCACTTGGGGTATTTGTTGATTGGCCTCTTATTCCGTTGCATGCGCGAACATTTCTCAGAATCAAAGTGGGGCTCAAGTGGACTAGAGCTGAATCTGAAGCGGCGTAATGTAATAATGTCTTCCGCACGAGTATTATGCAGCTCATTGTCTCATTGGCCTCAATCCCCGTTGAGCCACTTGTGTGTCGTCACTTCCACTTCCACTTCCACTTCCTAATTCTATTTCGGGCGGCACTCGTTCTCGGTCCTTAGTTGGTTTTCATTCTTATGCGTTTTATGCGATAGCTAATTAGATACTTGACATGCACTACACGTTGGCGGCGGCCAAGCCAACTCGCTTCTTCGGGAATTACAGCGACGGTGTGAGGGTGTAAGGGAGGAGGGAGGGGGGCGAGTGCGAGTGTGAGTGTTTTGTGACCTAATCGCTGACGCCACCCACCTGTTCACGGTTGCGTCGACGCTGATAGAGATGCACCATGTTGCTTTGCTTTGGAACACACACAGAGGCAGACACAAAAACAAAAAAGGGGCACACGTTTATATACTATATATATATATATATATATATCTATATATTGATAAGTGTATCGGTATAGTATGCAGTTGGGGCTTTCCGTTTGTTTCTGTGGCGACACTGAAATTCGCGACACGACGCTTTCAAAGTTTCTGTCATTACTGAAACGGAAAAAAGGCAGCGCGCGCGCTTCGCAGCGATCTAGCAGCAAATTAAACAACAAAGCGCACAGCAGAGCCACAAAAGCAATAACAGCAACAACACCAACAACAACAACAACAACAGCAGCAGCAGCAATCACAAGAACAAAAGCAACAAGGGAAACAACAACACAAAGGCAACTGCTGATAGCAAGCGCTTTGCCGCTGCTGACGTCGACACGCCGCTGCTTTGATGACTAGCTGCTGCCGCTGCCGCTGACGTTGCTGCTGCTGCTGCTGCTGCTGCCCAGCCGAGCCATGTTAACGAACTTTATTGAACTGCATTGCATTGGCCTGGAGAGGGGTGTGTGTCGTGTTGCGGGGGGGCAGCCTAAAAGAACGAAACGAAAAAGCAGAGGAACGAACAGACAGACGGACAGACAAACAGTTAAAAGGCTGAGGGTTTGAATCGCTGGACAGGTACAATTCCAAGAAGCAAAGCTAACAACGCATGCGTCGCTTGGATTGGTCAAGAGCGTTAGCGACATTCGACGTTGCCGTCGCCGCAGGCGTCGCTGCCCTAGCATGCCAACAATTTGAGTCATCCCGTTTCGCATTTCGACTGTCCATATGTCACTGTTGCTGCTGCTGCTGCAGTCGCAGTCGCCGTCGCCGTGGGCATCGCAGTCAACGCGCACAGGAGGTTAGAGCACATGTGCCGTCATCAGCAACGATTACAGCTGCAGCGATACACTGTGAGAAATTAAGTTAAATATATACACTCGTGGCATATTTAATGAGCACACTCTCGAAACTTCTATGTAAACAAAGAAAGGGTGGTCAAAATTATATATAAACTGGAACTGGACGACGAGCTGACTTGGTCTAGTCATCTCCGATCTGTTGAGATTTTAAATATATATCTATCCATTTATATATGTGCATATATATATATATCTATTTTCCTTTCCCTCAATTCATGGATAACTCACCCAATTTGAAGCATGCACATATTTGGCTGCCATAGTTAAACCCTACAAATTTCATATAGATCAGACTATAGACATCGGAGTTATTGGAGAATGCATTTAACATAGTGAGGGGTCAAGTCGAAAAAAAAGATTTTTTTTGTCCAATTACAGTACGTGAGCATCTTACGTCGCCGAGTTTCGTTGAGAACATGGCACAGACACGAACATGACGTCTTGAGAAAACAAGAAAACAATCTATCCGGCTGATGAAATGTTTTTCCACGTATTATGATAAACACCAGTTAAATAAAATCGCTGACTTATAAGAAACATTACGTAACTTTTCGAGAAAAGAGCGAGCAACAAAACAAAATGAACACATTTGGGAATAGCTAAGATTGCAGCGAGTTGCGAATATATTATATAGTCGAATTGTGTATGCGCTATCAAGCATAACAAAATGTTTTCTTATTTTTTTTTTCAGTGTAAAGAAATTCCGCTTTCAAAGAGGCGATAATTCTGACAGGCTGGCGAGTGCGTCACCTTTTTTTCTGTGCCCATTGTTTCCACGAAATATCAACACAGCCTCAGCGCGGTGGGTGTGGCAGATAAAGCGATGATGCATATACTTAGGTTCGAATGCCCGAAAGCCGCAACTGATAAAACTGTGATAAAACAAAAATAAAAAAACAAAAAAAAAACCAAATAAATAGGAATTCCCACAAATGATTCGAGAAGCGGCCTGCCATTGGCTAAGGTCGGCAACATCTACGTTTCGAAATGAAGATCGATTTCAATATCTAATTCCAGCTGATCGAATGACGTCACATACATACGGGCGCGTGTGCGTGTGCGTGAGTGTGCGTGTGTGTGAAATAAATGACTGTCGAATTTTAGTCAACATTTTACTTTTGGGGCAACTTTCACTTTAGGGTACCTTTTGCTAGAGATTGTGCGAGGCAACAGCATGT